TATTTAACATAATATAGTATCATGAAGTAATTGGACATGAAATTATTTAAAGTAATTATTACAACCAATTGGCATTGAACAATGACTATTAATTACACGAACTAGTCGAGGAGTAAATGACAATTAATATGCTAATAGCAATTCTAATCACGATATGATGTCAAAGGAAGAAAACTGTTTTAGTTCTACGTCAACGTAAACAAACACCTGTAATTTATTTCGTGAAATTGATAGTAGTACTATGTAAATGGTGACTCTCTGCTTTTCTCTTTTCAAATTATTTTCTGTAGAGTGATGGAGAGATATATTTTTTATTTTAAGGTAATATAATCTAGTATTCAACTCAACAGGTCCTAACCTGAGACACAGATTTCTAAAGACATATAAAATTGTTTGTGTTTTTTTAAATCCTTAGAAAGATGTATATGACGCAAAAGTACCAAAAATATAGAAAATAAAAAAAAGTAACAAAAAAGAAAGAAAAGCTCAAAAAACGTATGTAGTGTTTTTATTTTACTTCTAATAAAAAAACCTTAAACATAGAACCTGTAATCTTTTACATAATAAGCAATACCAATCATATTTTTCAGTAGATCTATTTTACACTTTAAGTATATAATATTTTCCATAATATAAAATTGTATTCATAATCTCTTCTATATATTTTAAGAGTATCACATTAATTAGATTATATGTTTTTGTGTATATGTTACCCGATGCATTCTCCTAAATGTCTAAATACCTATATCGGTTTTCATAATGTTTTTTTTTAAAGAACAGGCTGTACTTTCTTCGATCTATCAGATGAGTAGGTAATAATTTACAAATGCTAGATCTATATAATTTTTTAGATTAGGCTTTACAATTTTTCCTTAACTTTGCCATTTAAAAAAATACCAACTGAATTGAATGCATTCTCCTTAACCTATGTTAGCTTAAGAATTATATAGCAACTTACGACTCATCCTCGCTTCGTATACATAGGTATGACAAGTTGTTATGGGTTGTGGAGTTGTGTGTGAGGAATGAGATAATCTTCCGCGGTAAAAAGTAACTAATGTCGCTCTCTAGCCCTCCAGCTGTCACCATATAAAAAATCAAAATAAAAGGTAAACTAACGAATTTAGCTATATATACTACACACTGTCTTAATTTAACCTATCAACATCATTTATTATCTAATTAAAATTTAACCTATCACCCACCCAATAGCCCATACATAATGTTTTATATAAAAAACAAAATGAGCACATATCAAAACGCTGCAAATATATCAGACATAAAAACCATACGAACCGTAGTATTCTAAATACGTAATAAAAGCTGAAATATACCACGTAAATATCGCTAATAAAATATCCCTATAAGAAAACGATTCCTTGTTTTTATTTAATCCATATAAAATCCTTGAACAGGTAAAGAAATTTTATGTCGGCACACAACCCTCTTTCAACAGAATACCTGAGTGCCCAAAAGAAAATCCTTTTCATTTGGCCTCACAATAATTACGCCTAGTGAGGAGCCTTTTTAAAAAAACCCTAATTTCAGAGGAGAAATAACTAAGGGTTTTTTTGAGTATTTGTTGATTCCAAATAAATGTATTATTTATTTTATAATTATTTTTAACCGACTTTAATAAAAGGAGGAGGAATTCTATTTAGCTTTTTTTGTGTGACTGTTACGTGATATCTTCGACAACAGTGAATCGATCTTTATATGTATGTTTTTAGAATATATATTTTTTTTATTTCACCTTAGGCCCTGTTAATTTTAATAGTAGCTTGCACTACTTCTACTGAAATACTGATTCAGGAAATAAAGTATCCATATATCGGATTCAATCATCAAAATCTAGTCAAAGCTTAGACTTACATATTTAGAATAGTATTACCATTAACAAAAAAATAAAAACTGACTTCAAACAAAAGCACTAAAAAGTAAAAAATAACTGATTGGTAGTTTTCATTTACTATACATACTTAATCAAATATTTTCGAATTATCGGTGCCTGTGCCTGTTATTTTTTACTTTTTAGTGCTTTTGTTTGAAGTCGGTTTTTATTTTTTTGTTAAAAAGTTTTTATTTTTCCCTTTTTAGTGTAGACAGTAGTAGCAAAGTACGAATTCTAACGTGTTAGGCTTGTCAAATCAAACAAAATAAGCCCAAACTCAAAGTATCTACTATTAGCCGTTGAAGAGTTCCACCTATTCACCTTCTGGCCTTACCATCAGATCAGGTCAAAAATACCGAACCACTGTACTATCAACGGAAATAGAAACACTTGCAAAGTTTCAAGTCAATATGACAATTAGAAGTAGGTTAAATTCATCATTAGCTATTTTTCCACCCTTAGGGATGGTATTTTTTTTGAAATTTAAATGGGACCAATCTGGAAGTATACACTTTCAAACGACACAAAAATTGTCCAAATCGGTTAATAAATGACGGAGTTCTGAGGTAACAAACATAAAAAAAAATACAGACGAATTGAGAACCTCCTCCTTTTTGAAGTCGGTTGAAAAAGTATAAAAGTAAGATAAGTGCGATTCTGATTCGCACACCAAGGGTGTGGCATGAAACATTAAATTTTTGTTATATTTGAACACGCTAATTTGTAACTTTTATTAAAAACTACGTATAAGTAAAACAAAAACATTAAGCTATCATCATACTAAATTTCATCAAAATCACAGACAGACAAATATTCTAAAAACTATAGATTCGGCCTCTGTATCGATAATGATGTCTATTTAATAAGATGTTCCAAAAAATATTTAATGTACAGATTCGACTTAGTTACAAATTTATTATATGTAACTAGATACTAAGCATTCGTTAATTAAAAATATATAATGTAATCATTTGCATTGAATTCATCTTATAGTATCTTTAATTCTTTACATATGTGAAATACTGGAATGAGAAACTGTAAATACTAGTTTATGGATAGATTGTGAAACACCAAAAGGCGATGCATACTATGCCAAATGTAAACGCTACCAAATATTCAATAATACATATTATGATATATACAGTCTAGACGCCTTCGATGTTTCAGTCATACAAGATTGTAGTAAAAATGTTTACAGGTACACAAATAACAGTAACAGTGTAATAAAATTGTTAAATATTATGTAAATTTGGTTTATGAAGGCTTATGTATAAAAATATTTTGTAAAACCGTTAGAATTTTATTAATTTGGTTTATATTATAATTGTTATGTTATATATATTGAGACTTTAACACAGAGCCATCTAGTTCCATGGTAAGCTACGAGGCTTATGTTATGGATACCAGATAGTTGATACACTACACATACATATAATTTGAAATACATACATATTATAAATATAAACACCCATGACTGGAGTACAAACATTAGTGCTCATCACACAAATGAATGCCCCCAGCGGCATTCGAACCCGCGACCGGCAAGTAGAGTATAACTACTACTAACTGAGCCAAACGTGTTATGATTTTAGGCTTTTCTATAGGGAATAGTATTTAAAACAAATATTAAAGCTTATCGCACCATTATCTTATAAGTACTTATTAAGGCTCGTGGATTTGATTTCCCATTAAAGCTTTCATTATGTATGTATGTATATCATCTATACTAACATTGTAAAGAGGCAGAGTTTGTTTGTTTGTTTAAACGCGCTAATCTCATCAACTACAAATCCGATTTGAAAAAATATTTTTGCATTAGATAGCCCGTTTATTGATGAAGACTATAGGCTATATATCATCATGCTACTACCCAAGCAATATACTCTAAGCTACTACCCAAGGAAGCGGGATAGTAACTATAAATGTCAACAAATCGGGCAGATTTCCATACATTATTACTAATAATCTTATATATATATAAAAGAAAGTCGTGTTAGTTACACTATTTATAATTCAAGAACGGCTGAACCGATTTGGCTGAAACTTGGTGGAGAGGTAGCTTAAACCAGGAGACGGACATAGGATACTTTTTAGCCCGTTCGACTGCGTTCCCGTATACAAGACTCAAGAACGGCTGGACCAATTTTTATGATATTTGAATTTTTGGATTTCTCTCATTCCGTAATAGGTTAATACCTAAGTATTAAAACGTCAGAAAAATTAACGAAAAAAATATATTTATATGGCTAATAACACTGGCTAATAACTATTTATATCTATTTAAAACGTACCTAGCGACGAACCCGAGAGAAGCGAGGGTGAGCCGCTAGTAGCATATAAAGGAGTTTTTTTTTGTAGTTTTAGCGCGAGCGAAGCCGCGGGTTCTGCTAGTATCGCATAAATTACAAAATAACAAGTTTCGTCTATTACGAGATATTCTGTATACATAGTAAAATCTAAATTATACATAACCATCACGTACATTATCTACCCAAAGTTTAACCATTAATACGTAACTAGGAAATATTCGCGATTTTGTCTGAGTTTATTGTATTGTTTCATTTACTTATAGGCAATTTTTTGATACCTTAGGTCACATTATTGCAATTTTCCTGGGGATCTCTATTTTTAATGAAAATAAAATATGGTCCAGTATACACACATATATATATATTATATATATATATATATATATATATATATATATATATATATATATATATATATATATATAAGTTTATCCATTAAAAACAAACATCAAAAAAAATCTCTTTATAATATTAGTATAGATAAAAAAGACTTTGTTTTCAGTGAAACTAAATTAACTTTAATATTAGAATAATAAAGTTATTCAAGTACTTACTAAGTAATATTTGTGCTAAGACATATTATGAGACAGAGAATACGTTTTTAGAGGCTTCACGTAATTCATGCTTGATAAACTTACATATATTATACATTTTACTTTCGTCGGTTTCATTTTTCATTACTTCTCTTGATAATAACTACATACTTTTAGATTTGATTCAATGTGTTGACTTATATCTGTGACAAACAGACAAACTGTCAATACCAAAGATATTATAGTTTAAAGGAAATTATGGGTTTATGGTTGTAAGAGCATGGAGATGAAAATTATTATCACTGTAGTTTGACCTTGACTACCATTGGAAAAGCACTTTAATTGGATACATAAAGCTGGCTTACTCGCCTCGTTGCCTCTCATGGGATTAATTTCTGACAAGTTTGGTAGAAAAGCTCTGCCTTGGGCTTCATTGATGAATCGTTTAGATGGTGGACTTGCGAGGTCATTTTCTTCGGCTAGATACTTGTTTTCCTTGAGTTTTAGAGAAGCGGCGTTGGCTGGAAGTGCTTAATTATTATTCTTTTACTTTTTGTAAGGTTTATACTAAGTAATTATTGTTTAATATAATAGACATTTTTTTTATTTCTTTTTTTTTATTAAACTTTTTTTTAACTTGAGGGACAGTCTTTTTGGCTTGCTTCCAATTAACTGTCTAAATAGCTACATAGGTGTTACTGAAAATTAGCATCAATTATTTTTCAGCAGCGTCATCCCTATTTCTGACTTTTACCAAAATATTATATATTTGTTTTAATCCAAAAAAAAATTACAACCAAAATTTATACTACTTTGTTTTATGTCAATAAATAATCTTTAAATGATGATGGAAATATGTAATAATTCAAAATCGATAAATTATGCATTATTATTGTTATTATTATATTTTATATACTACCACAAGCTTTGTTTCCGCATTGGAACTCATTCCACCAAAAGGTCGTGTATTTGGCAAAACTCACATTAATTTTGTCTACGTTTTTAGTCGCATGACTCTTACGGGCCTCGCATGGTCGTTACGAAATTGGAGATGCATGCTTAGAATATTGTATACCAGCAGTGTTCATTTTATCGTACTTTTATATATAAAAGAAGTCCTTATATGTTACTCAGCAAAGGGAAACACGAGCGTACTATTGAAATTCTTCAAAAAGAAGCTAAAATGCACGCCATTTAATCGGGAGATAAAACTAAACACATATTATAGAAAATAAGTGAAGGGATTTTTTTTAGCACTAAAATTAAAAAATATTTATTTTTAGTTGGTTCTTACATGTGGATTCTTATGTATAACGGATTCTTTAGCTTGATTTTTTGTTGCATTGCAATGTGAATTTAAATCGATGTATTTCTTCCCTAAAATTACTTTATTTGTAATCGTTACTTAAGAGCAATTATTGGCTACATATGCTTTCTGACACATCATATTCAATTCTATTTATATAATAATTAGTATACCGCAAGCTTTTAACGCTATTTGACTATTTAAAGAAATAGACGGGTTTCTCCACACATCCAAAGTTATGAAAATCATCTAGAATAAATACATATTTAGTTAACTATATCATTGCGAAAAGTAACTAAAATATATTTACTTATGGAGGATGTTTTTTTTTAAATATCAAAAAAAAATACAAAAAGCTCAGACTGCTATTATCAAAAAAAAAGATAAACAAGAACTTCCGTGAAAGCTGAATATAATGACTGCGAGTGTTACCGATGTTTACTGTCGTTAGATTTTTCCTTACATCTAAATAATAGGTTTGGTTAAAGTTCTGAGCTTGTAGCGATGAATCCACTGAAATATATATTTACTAGCAGAACCCGCGGCTTCGCTCGCGCTGACACTATAAAAAATCTCTAAATAGGTAGTTTCATACAAACTTTCATCCCCTATTTTACCCCCTTATATGATTGATTTCGAAAATTGTTTAAACACGTATTTATTTATTTTTATTGAAGAGTATTAATACAAAGTTTCAAGTAATTCTGATCATAAACAGTTTTTTTGGATTGTATCATAACGTGTTTTCCCGTGGGATTGAGATAATCTAATGTAAAAAGTAGCCTTTGACACTCTCCAGCCCTCCAACTATCTCCATACAAAAAATCATGCCAATACGTGAACCCATTTCGACGTGAAAGAAGGACAAACAAACAAACACACTTTCACATTTATAATATTAGCATGGATTAAAGCTCAGTTTGCGTTGAGTTACGTTTTCACTTATCAAGTTCTTTTACTCATGGAATGAAAAGACGAATGGCTCCATGATTAAATGCCCCATTGAAGGATTGGTGGCCCAACCTGGGAGGTGGCCCACTTCAGTGGGCAGTGTACCATGCGGGTTGCTCCTGGTACTTCTCTGATAGCAGAGTGGTCTGTAGAGCAACCCATGGCTTTTGTGGTCTGAGCGTCGTGGTAGATTGCGGAAGCGATCCTGCGACGTCCCATTAAGACGGGGGAGGTTTTGTTGGGTTTTATTGGGTAGTACTCACTTTAGTAGTACGCGTAAATGCATTTCTTAGCATTAAAAATAAGGGAAGCTAGGTAATATTTCAGGTTGAAGACTAATGAATACTAAAATAAACATATTTCTAATATTATTATTAAATACAAAAAGGTGAAATAATGTAGCTTTGAAATGGTGAAGAAATTAAATTAAAATTTGATTAGTAGGTACTTTTGAGAGTTTTTTGATTAGAAAAAAGCAAAATTGATTAGACACGAAAAAACCTTTAATCTTTGTAATATTAGAATAGTATTATTTTCTGCCCGATTATGTCTTTAAAAATCTGAAATTGTTTGTTTTTTATACGTACATTTTATCAACTTGAAAATCAGCAAATCTTTAAAGAAGAAGAATAAATGATCTGAAACACGTAACTTGAGCCAAACAGAGGAAGCTAATATAATGTCGCCTGTTGCTTCATAAAGCCTTTCCTGACACTTATTCAATGGCGACGGCTTTATTCCAAATTTATATAATTTACATAAATTTTCCTTATTTCTCCTCACCTCGTAATTTTGTTAATTAATATTTTATAATATTATTAATTTGACAGAATTAAAATTTGTTGCTATATTTCTTCTTAAAATCAAAATGGCATTCCAATTTTATTGATATATTTATATGATATACTAGCGACTCACCCTCGCTCCGCTAGGGTTCTTCCCTAAATACCTACGTTTTAACGGTTAGTATAGATTTGTCAGAGATGATATATTTTTCCGTAGTAAAAAGTATCCTATATGTTGACCCAGCTATCATCACACCAAATTTCATCAAAATTTGTCCAATGATTTTCTCGTGATGCGTTCGCAGACAGACAGACATAAATTCTAAAAACTATAGATTCGGCCTCTGTATTGATAAGAACGACTATTTCAATAAGATTTTCAAAAAAATATGTATCCTGTAGATTCGACTCAGAATTTTATTACGAGTATATGTAGGTATAGATATAGGGCACAAGTTTAGTATATGTGACGTAGCCTCTGGAGGAGTGGGTGGTATTTTTGGATAGGGGAGGTGATTGAGGAAACGAAAGAGTCAAAAGTTATGGAGACAAAGTTCGAATATTTCCATACATTTCTATACCAAAATAAGTCATTACAAAAGATAAACATACCTTTAATGAATAGGAAACATCATTTTTCATGTAAATTTCATATTTTGATTACAATTAAGGCTTTAAATAATAAAATATTTCGATAATTTCACTAAAAACAATAAGCTAAACAAAATAATCTTAAATTTTGACAAAACTGTCAATTTCTTTTTTATATACCGCTACATATTAACACATTGTCGCTTAATATTCGTAATTAGTTAAGAGTTATTATCACCTAGAGGTAAATTTCTAAGTATTAATTAAAATTCTAAGAAATCTATTGTTAACTGACACGCCGGCGTATCCGAGGTCGTAGAGGGATTAATATTAAAAGTAAAAATTGTCTACAGATTACCTACTAAGATTTTAAAATAGAAATATGTTATTTACAATTCATGCATGCATTTACGAGTTTTTATTTGAATTTAAATCTTCGAAAAAAACCGAAAAGATAGTATTATTTAAGATGGAAATAATCTTTCTGATTGATGAGTAGCGACTGTAGTAGTTTAAAGTTTTAGACAGTACATTTACTCGGCATGAAAAATATGGGATGATGTATATATAACTTAGGAGCGGAGGAGTGATATTAATTATTCCTCCCAAAGGACGCTAGTTCTTACAATAAGTTTGTTTGTCAACACTATTCTGCTCATGATCAATTTAAGCTTCTCTAAATCTCATTAAGTTTAGTCAACTGCACAGGAAATATTATAATGCAGCGCGCACTGTGTACTGTCTATTCCTGTCACTTTTATACCCCGACAACAACTCTATACAATCAGTGAGTGATAAGGCGCTGGACCGAACTTTATGTGCTCTCCGAGGCACGAAGGCGAGACACCTCCAACGTCCCAACTCCGGTCTCTTACCGAAAATTTCTTGACAGAAATCCAAATAACTGTAATTGGCCCGACCCGGGTCTCGAACCTGGAATCTCCGGATCTGCGCCGTACATACTAGCCACTAGACCACCAAAGCAGTGTTAACATATATTTATCTTACAATTAGATGCCTCAGGCGATTTCATATATAGATACAATGTATATAAACTTATAGACTTATCTAATAAATCATCCATCAGTCATCGACCAATAGAAAATATATGTAACTCTTGCTATACCTAGTAATAATTAGGATAAATTATTAATTAATTACTTGAGGTAATTGTGGATAGCCTAATGACAATTGCAATCAAATCCTAACGTTGACACAGATTGCTTTGCTAAGTTATCGAAGATGAATCTATACTTATAAATATGTATAGGTAACACTATAATGTCTTTGGCTTAACATACCTGAATGATGAACCCATATTGATATCGTTTATTTTTTATTATAGTATTTATAAAAATATTAAAGACTAGCAACTCACACTCGCTTCGCTCGAGTTTGTCCTTAGGTACTTTTTAACGCTTAGTATGAAATAAATAAACTACATATTAGTATATATGTATATTATATGTGTATACCGTAACAATAAGTATGTTGCGTTATATCCCTAATTTGAAAAATGTTTGATCCCCTATACAATCTTTCATCCCCATTTTCACCCTCTTAAGGTATGATTTCCTCGGCAAAAACTATGTCCGATGTCCTTTCCAGGGTCTCAAACTATTTTCATACAAAAATTTATCTAAATCGGTTAAGCGGACTTTTAGTTTAACCATTACAAACAAACATAACAAAAACTTTTTTCGCTTTATAATATTAGTATAGATTAATTATATTATTTACTATACGAATGAATTACACAATATAAATACAAGGACTTAATAAAATACATGCATTTATCATATTGTCATAATATATTAATGCTATTAATAATTTATTCTTTTCATAATTTGAAATGCCAAAATATGTAAAGATTATGACGTACTATATTGTAATCTATACTAATATTATAAAGGGGTAAAGTTTGTGAGTTTGTGGGTTTGTGACGTTGCAGGGGGTAATCTCTGGATTTACTGAACTGATTTAGATGAAATTTGGTATCTCGAAGTTTTATTAGTCCCGTCCTACAATACTAAATTCATATTTAAAAAATTAAAACCCATCATCGTTTCCTAACTTTGTCCTATGTCTCTTAATCCACGCTCAGTATTTTTTTAACATAAAAAAATGCCGGCCAAAGCCTAAAATAATGACATCCCGACTTATTCGACAGATGCAACAAAGAGGTTCGTTAGTCGCCACTCGTGAGTTACACGGCATTTTAGCGTCCCTTTTGAAGCAGCATACTTTAACAATGTATCAATGGAAGCATTGTTTCTATCAATTTAAAAAATCTTTCCAAAACCTTATATTCCGATTTTAACAAGCTTTCAGTGACTTTCAGTGGCTTTAACTGAACTATATATATAAAAAAACTATAGTTTAGTGACTATTCTTAGCTTTGCTCGGGTGGTCGGCTATTTACATGTTGTATTTATTGTATGTTGTATTACTAACTGGCCCGAGAGTTGTTGTCCAGTCTTTTTTATAGATATATTTTTATATAGATAGATAGATGATTATAGTAGGAATATCCATACTAATATTATAAATATGAAAGTGTGTTTGTTTGTTTATTTGTCCTTCTTTCATGTCGAAACGGGTTGACGGATTGCCGTGATTTTTTGTGTGAAGATAGTTGAAAGGCTGGAGAGTGACTTAGGCTACATTTTACCGTGGGTGATAATCTTATTCCCACGGGAAAACACGTTATAATACAACTTAAAAAGTTTTTTATGATCAGAATTACTTGAAACTTGGTATTAATGTTCTTCAATACAATTAAATAAATACGTGTTTTAGTATTTTTCGAAATTCATCCCATAAGGGGGTAAAGTTAGTTTTAGCGCGAGTGAAACCACGGGTTCTGCTAGTTACAAATATTTACAAAACATTAAATAAAACGTTCATTGTCAAATGCGGGAATTTCATACTTTCCGCTCGCACAACACAGGTTCCTGTCGAGACCTCAAAGCATTGCAATGTTGACAAATAGTGATCATGGTTTTCAAGTCGATAGATACATTTAAGATTTAATCAACTATTGGAATGTATCTGAGCGCCAATAGTTCATGTAAAATTATCACATTTGGCCGTATCGAGTTGAACTCGACTATATCAGTTGTTTTGGAGTCATAATTGATCGTGCTTAATAAAATCTTATTGGATTTGTCTCCAAACTCTGTCTACGCTCTCAATCAGTCTCATTGACTCGGCAATCCTTTATTTCTCTTGCGTTGCGCGTCCGCCGTAAATGACCACCGTACGTATGTATATATATAAATATGATGTGGATACCAGATAGTTGACAAGCTACACATATATAACTTTAAATACATACTTATTGTAAATACAAACACCCACGACTGGAGTACAAACATGCGTGCTCATCACACAACTGGACGCCGCGGCGGGACTCGAACCCGCGACCACAGGTACAGCAAGTAGGGTCACTACAAAGTGCAAACTGAGCCAAATGTGTCGTCAAATAGCACCGCATACATCCAATTTTGTTACCAATATCATTACCTTTAGATTTTATATTTCAGAAATATGTAAAAAATACTATATTTCATGGTAATAAAGGTTTTTTTTAATATCTTGTATTATTAAAGCTATATTACGATACATTACATAAAAATGTCTGACAATATTTTTGCCAATAAATTATTTATTTTTCTATAAAGTTTAGGCCTATTTTATAATTTAGCCAACAATAGTAAATTATTTAAATTAAAAAGTCTAAAATATTAGCAATATACATTTGCTCAATTTTTAACATATTTGAGATTAAGGCAGTTACTGTGTTTATTAAAACAATAAAACATAATTAACAATTTAATAGAAAACGTTTAGACATCTTTTGTGTTTCAAAATTTTATTTTTCAAATGAACTCAAAAATAACATTTATTTATTATATTTGAGCAAATAAAATTATTAAAGCCTTTAAAGGAATTAATTATTTTTGCATTCTGAAAATGCATATTTTTATTAATTATACTTTTTACAATATTTTTTTATATTTTCGTAGATACAAATTTATTTATAAAACATTTACTTTGGTAACATAATAATAAATAATATTCAAAAGTTGCATTTTTAATCCACTATATTAATATACATATAATAATTATAAGGTATAATAAATATATATAAATATAAATAGAAGGTAAAATAATATCTAATAATAAAATTATTATTAGATATTATTTTACCTTCTTTTATTTTCCTGACAAATAATCTGTAAAATAAACGCTTTTAATAAACCATGTACTTTTTTTGTATATATATATATATATAAGAATTGCTCGTTTAAAGATATAAGATATTCAGAAAACTCAACATACATTTATTTAATTACAATAAGTACTCTTTTTTAATTTCACGTAAACATCAATTGAAAAGGATTTGCAATATTTTAGAATAAACAAAATCATAAGTGCCTTATGTATTTAACCCTTTTTAACATCCCGCTGCTGGGCACGGGTCTCCCTTCTATGCGAGAGAATCAGGCCATAGTCCACCGCGCTGGCCAAGTGCGGAGGGTTGGTGGACTTCACATGTCTTTCGAAAACTTGCTAGGTTCTCTCAGACATGCAAGTTTCTTTACGATATATTCCATCACCGTACGACAAGTGGTAACCAGGTTTTGATTTGCACATAAAAATATCATAGGTGCGAGACCCGGGATTTGAACCCGCTTCAGACGGCTTCCCAAGAGAGCTCGTTACCAATGGGCTAGCACTACCTTTACAAAATCATGCTAGTAAATATAAATAAAAAATAAGTAATCAGAAAGTATTCAACTTAGAAAATTTCACAATAAATTGCAAATACTTAGAAAAAACCTCCGAGTTTTAATCGAAGCCCTGCAACATTTACTGGAAGTTAATGCGAAAATTTAAACAAGTGGCGAAATGCGATTACAAAGTATTTAAGCCTGGTATTATACAAGTTCCTTAGGTAAAGTGCTACAGTAGTATTCTTATGTTGATAAAAATTCATGTAAAAATAATTGATATTTGGTAAATATTTTCATGTTTACAAACTTTTATTTAGCTTGTAATGTTTGGTAGTTATGTTTTTATGAAACAATCTTATCGTACAGAGTAAAAATTTTCTAATGACAACCTATTTTTTATGATCATTTTGACCTAATTTTCCTCTAGAATTGGCTCCAAGCAAAGCATCTGCTAAACGGTAAACAATACAGTCACGAAATTTTGACATGATGACATGTAAACACCATGACTTGTAAACTAAAAAAAAATTGATAAATAAATAAAAAAAATCCTTTTAAAAAAAAGCTAAACCCATGAAAGCTTGTTTTTGAAATGTTTTTTTACTATTAACTTATTTTAAAATAAATTTTGAAAAATTCTTATTTATCGTCAATGTAAGTTATATTATTAATATATTATTTAACAACTTTGTACACGTAACAAATATAGATTTAGATAATCAAAATCTTACTCTATTTGTCCGATAGGAATGAATCCGATATAAAAGGAGCACTATCTCTTTTAACCTAACCTATAATTGAAATTCATTGGGACTGATCCAATTATCTAGATCTAGATCCAGTGTAAATACCATAATATCTAATTTATCAAAAGTCATCTAGTCATGGCGTAACGTAGTCTGTAGGCTAATAACAAATCCAGAAGCATTACCAAATCTATATTACCGCAATATTGATTTACAAAAATGTACCAATTAAGACGAATTAGTTTACAAGTAGACACTGGCAACATTGTGAAGTTACTAGTATGTTTGGCTTCTTACTTACATGCTTATTTATACAAAATAGAATTAAAAAAGTAAAAATTTTTAGATACTAGGTCATTACATTTCAACGATAATTTTAACATAATATGTACTAGAAAACCTAGCCTCAACTAAACAGCCCACATAAATTCTGATAAGTCTTCCAATAACCATTGGTGCGGAAAATTCGACTTCGC